TTCATGTGAATACAGCAAACTATTTACAAGTATTAGTAATGAATGAAGAAACGAACCAATTACAGGCATTAAATTACCCGATAAGGCCAAACATGACAGCTAGAGAGCTAAGTGAGTATATTTACATTCAAACTACATTTTCTGTATATATTTACTTGTTTACAAGAACGAAGATACTCATTTAATTTATAATTTTAAAGTTATTTGTGTATCATATAACGGGAAGTAAGATCTCTATAAAAATAACTCTCATCATGAATTGACATCACCTAAAGATTTATAGAGGACCAGAAAACATTGAAAGGTTGTTTTTTGTCGGTCTCCTAAACCTTAACAGTGTAAATTAACAACCCCACTAGAGATGAAAACCAGGATTTTCAACACACATGATCAGCTATCAACATCTATACCAAAGGCCCAAATTGAAAATGTCTACCAATTTTCGGATAATACACGTCAATTGTTCAATGTCATCCACAATAAAAACAAAATTGAATGAATATGACAGAACATATTCACAAAATGAAGTTACATTTTAATTAAAACAATTAGATTATAAATAAACAAAGGTATATCCAGATTGTTTATCGAATTCAGTAAACATAATCATGTAAACTTCATTGATATTTAACATATAATCTGACTGGTTTTATATTTTATTTACATTTTTTTCAATTGTTGAGATCATGAGTCAATTGAAGCTAGATAGATCATCGTTTCGTCCTATTGTGGGACTCCTGAGTAATGAGCAATAGGATGAAACAGCTGTCTAGTGCTTCCAGGTTTTCCACGGTGGTAATTGTGTTTATCACAAAAATATAATGTTAACTTTAGAATCGTTTAAAATGAGAAGATATTTCATAGATTTTTCGTTGTTATTGTTTTGTTTTGTTATAGAAATGTAAGTCGATGAATTCACGCATATGATCTAATCTAAACAAGGCTTACAGATCTCTCATTTCCATTCAATTTATATTGTAGTTAACGTGTCATCTATTGTCATGTGTCAATTTACACTGTCCTTTATGTTGTTGTTGTTGTCGTCTTCATTGTTTTCAATCAATGTTATCATGTTTATTATTTATTCCCTATCCATATTTTATTTGTTTTATTCACTTGTCTTCAGATAATTTGATAGCATTTCAAATGAGAATATTTGATTCAAAAGATTTTGGATTATTTGCTTACATTAATGGAACAGGTAATAATTTTTTTACTTTTCTTTATTTATAGCTTAAATGTTTACAGTCTTTCCTAAATCATCGCATAACTCATTTAAAGTGTATTATTTTTATAGATTTTATTTAAGGTGCTAATAGTCCTTAGAAGATACTACTAATTGTGAATAACTTGACCGGAAAATTGAAAAACTAATACACAAAGTAATCATGAAATGCTCTCACAACCAATTGTATGTATTATAGAGAGAAAATTGAAATTCATGAAGAAGCTTTTATGCCTAAATCGACAATGTGTTGGGTGCTTGAAATGTAAAGTATTAAATTCACATTCTAGTGTTAATCCCAACATTTAAGTGCAATTTTGTTCATGTGATGCGTTCCAAATTAGAATAAACGCCCTTCTTAGATTCCTCTATTAGCCATTATCAATCTTTACTTAGAAACTTGTAATTCATTAGCAGTATCAAGGCAATCCGCTCAAGAAGATATTTGGTAAAAGAAAATGAATAAAATTTACTCAATGACATCAACAACGGAAAGACTGAAACAATTACATATTAATAATGGTATCATTACTTTGTAATTTAATAGTTGAATTTACAAGTCAATTAAGGCTAGACCACTATGAAAAACCTGGAAGCACTGGACGACTATTTTGTCCTAGTATGGGTCTCCTTAGCAGTGTGCACCCACGATCCCACTCGAGCGATCGATGAACGAAATAATTATTCCTTTCTTTTAATAAAAAGTTTTACTCTTTTCATAACAAGTTATCTAAACTAAATAAAATTTTTCAATATATTTGACAACTTTTTAAAAAATCTAATAACTGTAAAATTAATAACCATGTAACAAGTGATCTTATGACTTAATATCAGATCTATTATAATCAAAATTAAAAAAATAGACATTATAAACTCATTAGTTACTAAGATCTCACTATCTATTTGAAGAGTTCATGCTATCCTGTTTATCTTGTCTAACTTACATATAGTACAAACTTTTTATAAATTCATAATATCATCGAAATTAGTTTGTTAGATTTTGATTAATTGAAAGTTTTATTTATTTCTTTTTCTGATTAAAAGAAATTCAATTAGAAGATGAACTACGAATAGCTGAATATACTAGTTTAAATCCAGATATTTCATATTCAACACATATACTTCCAACAACAATGACAATGGTCACACCATCACGTTCACAAACCGGTACACCTAATTCACTGAAAGACCATGAAACACTTCCTTTCAAAAGTCATGTTTCTATTAGTTCACATTCTGATTCTACTACCAGTAGTTCATCTGACTTTCGATCGCGAACAGTATCACATCGTACGGGAAAGTCAAATCGAAATCGTGCTGCTTGGTGGACAATGTGTGGATCGAATGGTCAATCAAAGCATCAGTTAGTAGTACCAGTTCAAGATTCAGCTTGTAAAAATGGTACAGAATGTCATGAAAATTCAGGCTTGCATAAGCCAGTGTTAGTTTATAAACGTAAATCTGGCTATTTCGCCTTATCTGACCGTCTGTTGGGATCAGGATTAAAATTTATCCAACAACAAAACTTAGAATTATCTTCCCCTGAACAATCATAATTGTGTAAAATAAATCAAAAGAGTTTCGAATCATTTAAAAAATTCCAAACTCCTGTATTCAACTGAACTTCCAAAATTCTCACATTTCATGACCCAAAATGTATTTTAGAAAATATCTCACCGAAAATGCATGTTACTTATACATTCGATCAGTAGTAACAGTTAACAAACTAAAAAAACATTTTACAGAAAAAATGCGTTGAAACGATCTAAACAAATCCTTACAATGATGTGCATTTAATCGGACCAGATTTTCTATTCATTGTTTTATTACAATCAGTTGAAGTGTTCAAAAATCTGGTTTAGTAGATACACAAGCATATGGCACTATTCATAACAACATTTATTATGATTTTCGCTTTCATTTCATAGTATGACGACTAAATATTTGTGCTTACGATGCTTCTACTTATTAAAGTCTATTTAAAAGTAAATTAATACAATGATGGCAGTTCTGTCTCTATAATTCTTCTTATCATTAATTTGTTTTCTTCATATCTATATTTTTTTCTTCTTACTGAAAGTGATAATTATAATTTTTGCATTGAAGTTTTTACTTGTGCATATTACCTATTATTAGGAAAATACAGTGTTAGGATTTCACGGAGGAATCATCTGACGTTGAACATAATATTACCTAATAAAAAAATACCCATTTACATGGGTACGTGCGTTTACACTGAGGATAGCAAACTGAAAGGTCCGACAGAAAAAAAGATCACTTATAAAACACAATAAGGAGAATACGGTTAAAACCGGTTATCAAGAACAAAATGATAAAATTTTCTCTAGGCCTAGATAACCCAAAATCATAAGCACAATATCATGCACACTTTATTTTTGCTGCTAAAAGACATATTTTACTCTGCTTAGGGCTTCTTAACCTTTGAAAATGGTCAGAGTAGAACCTAGGAATTGACATTAGAATATTTTGGTTCTTACAAGTAAAATGATATTTGAGACTACTACATAACCGATTCTTCTAGATTTGAGTCCTCATAGTTGAGTGCTACAGATTAGGCTGTACTATTCAAGTGATAAGAAAATAGTCCGCTTGATAGAGCTATATTATAGCTTTTTGTAGCACATTAAATGTTAGGATAGGTGATAATATCAATAAATCTTTCTGAATTTTGCTCTTATCCACTACTCAACTAAAAATCTTCCAGCTGTACACTTTTATAAATCCTTAAATCAAGATATAGCATATCAAACATCCAATACCCTTTATCGATTTGCTGTTATTTCCCTTTTTTTATTCATTTGAGTGGAAATCTTAGAGAAACTCACCCTTTCTTATTAAGGATTTACTAGTGACACTCCTGTGAAATAGAAAAATTAATTTTTTATTGACAATTGAGTGTATTTTTAATCTGTTAAATGAACGCCACGATCAAATCAAAGTCTATAGGCAAGTGATATCTAGTGAACATATAGCAAAAGATGTAGTTTGACAAACTAGCCACTAAAATCTTGAGGTTCCAAGTGCTATGTGCACGGTTTACATACTGTGATGACACTAACTGTGTGTATTATTCAGTATATCATTCATAAAACACAATTTGTTTAAACATTTTCTCCAAATAAGCGTGGGATGAAATACGATTTTGTTTGGTTGTACCACAGATGTGGATCGTTTCACGTTTCTTTGCATTTAGATTATCCAGTTTCTACCACATTATTGAACCAAAATCGTTCTTTTCACTTTTTCTCACCAAGAGATCGATAATTGGGAATAATTGTGCAATTTTATACTAGAATGTGGAAGTCACACCAACTTGAACCTGATTGTTTTAGTAGTATAGTATGGTTCAATCGGTCCAATCATATATGTATGAATTTCATTATAGCTTATTCATGTGACAAGAATTAAACACAATTGTTTAGTGATGGAGTATTCTGTATCTCCGAAAATTTAAAAAGATTTTGAATTTACCAAGTGTCATTTGAACAAAGTAAGTGTTTGATACAGATTCTACTTTTTTATGTCATATCAGGAGATACATTTGAATACCCAAATACATATATATCGAAAACAACTACTTGAATAAATAACTTTGTACTTACAAAATAAATAAAAAAAAAGATTTAACCCAAATCAGACGGTACAATAGGTTAGACGGTCACTCCTTCCCCTGGTAATGCATATTATCAAGTGATTGTAAAAGTTTGTTCACAGGTTTAAACGGTGTTTTTTTATTAGAATAACACTAGAAATGATTCAATGAGTTTATGTTTGATATCCTTCTTGAAATCATTTATTTGTCATTTTCTATACGCATTCATTTTTAACACTTTTTTCTCTAAAGCACAATTTATTTTCGTTTCCATCAAGCTAGTTTATCATAATAGTCTGAATAATAATTTTTTTTAATAACTGAAATCTGGAAATTAAATTTAGTGGTCATATGCATTCGATTTGTAACATTTGTAACACTTGAGGTGTGCACCTATCAAGTGGATGATAGCAAGTTATAGTAACGTCCGAATTGGGGTCAGTACTCTGGGTACATGTAACACAGAAATTAAACAGTTTGTGTTCAGTTACACTTAAAGACTTCAAGTTGGTAGACTGATGAAATACCATCATTGTTAAATATCAATGTACTGACCGTCGATCAATAAATTATTGAATTTAAAGGAAAAATTAACTAAGTGGAACATTATTGAAGTCACACCATAGGGTTTCCTATCAGTTGATTCTACTAGAAATCTGGTCAAGGTTCACTTCCCTCTACCTTTCTAGTCTACAATATGAATATTTATAAAACTTTCTTCTAATTGCATATTAATTGATTTTTATGGACTATTATACACCCATATTACAAAAACCTGTGAAAATACTGCAATCTCCATAAATCCTATATACTGCTGGCTTCGAGACATAACTCCTGGAGTTCTTGTGAGAATCTGTGACCAGTAGAATCCAATCTGTATCAGGTTTGAGACAGCTATTCATCACAGGCCATGGATGAAAAGTTTCGCAAGATCATGGACTGATTGAAGTTAAACATTGACATAGTTGAATGCCAACTCGCTGGTCTAACGGTTAGGCATCGAAAGTTCTAGGTTTGAGTCCCCGCTTGACGAATGATAAGTATGCACACTCGAGGAGTCCCGAACCAAAATGGAATGTCCATCCGGTGCTCTCTGTTTTTCAATGATGGTCTAGCTTACATAAACTCATGATTTCAAATATGCAAACATTTGTCATCATATATCATCCAGCTATGTAATAGATATAATTCAATAAATCTCAACGATTTTATAAATAAATAAGATTACAATTTATCTTACTTGGAGTTGAGTGCTTCGGCTGTTAATTCAACCTGTACTTAATATTGATTTATGTACTAAGTAGAAAGAGTCTAGGAGTCAACATGAGACTAAAAATATGAATTTTTAAACTAGTTAAGAAACATGTCCATGATCTCAACAGTATATCCTTGATTAAAATCGAATATAAAATTCATTGCTTCTGTTTAACATTTCCATAAACTTTAGATAATAAACGCTAACATCGAACTTATCTATTATTCTCTATATTAAAAAAAAAATCATTTCATGACTTTCAATAGTAAACAGTTCCACTTACAAAATAATTCCCATGAAAACTAATTATCATTATCATCACCAAGATGTAATAAATTATTGATTCAATGAATAATAATAAGCATGTTTGTTAAAAAGAGTGAGAGAAAGGGAAAAAGATAAAACAGATAGAAAATCCCAGTGAATCAAAAAAAAGAAAAATTTTTACTCTAAAATAGCAATCATAATAGTAACTTTGATAATAATAATAATGATAATAATAATAGTAATATATATAATAATAATAATAATAATAATTGCACAGCCATTAATTAAACCAATGAAAGTATAATGACCAAAAACTGTTTTATCGACAATATCATGAAGAGAAAAAAACATAAACAATAAAGAAACAAGAAGAAGGAATAAAATCAAGTCAATAAAAATAGTTAAGAATAAATATTATGAATATGAATAGTGCCAAAATGAAATATCTTCAATAATAATAATAATAATAAGTGTAGTTATTGAAAGAAAACAAAAGGAATCATCATACGTTACTAAAAATCAAACTGTATATGTCTTTTTTTTCTTTGAACACAACAATGAAAAAAGGTAGTACAAATGATGACTACAAGAGAGTATAAAGAAAAGAAAAAAAGAGATAAAAGGAAACAACAAAGTTTCAGGAAAGGTAACTACGTGAAAACACTGGTTCATAATATATATATATATATTCATTTGCTTATTAGTGGTTGTGTTGTTTTGTTTTGTTTCTGTGAGAAGAGTGTAGATGTTAAGTGCTTAGGAAAGGATGAGTGATATAAAAAGTACTTAATATTGAGTGATAGATCGGTATAAAACATTGAATACACAATACATTTGTTAACAGTGATATACACAGATATTATATCTATATGTATTTATATTGAAGCAATTTATATCTAAGAGGTTTATAAGAACTATTTTGATATGTAAATTTATCAGATATGTAATGTATAAAGACAGTGAATGTCATTGTTGTTTTAATGTGTTATTGAATGATATGATGATAATTATCGATTTACGTCTGAAGATTTCCCTATAATGCTAATTTCTGGCATTAAACGTAATTCTGATAAAGAGTCAATTGATTTATCACGTCGATTACTAGATGTATGTTGATGGTGATGATTTCGTTGAGTTGATGAATTTGACTCTGATCTCATTAATCGTCTATCATTTATACTTTCATAATTTGCATTGTGTTGTCCATCGGAAAACTGAATTGACAATAGAAAAATAAAACATCATGTTAATGTGATGATTTACATTTGAAAATTAATTTGACAATACTAATTTCATGTTTAGGTTCAGCATTTCTTCGTCTGAGAACATTTAACCATGGGAATAAATTAAAATCAATTTTCTAAGACTTCTTATCTCAGATTTTAGAAAAGATAAATCTATGAGTTTATTAAAAAGTCCTGCGTTCGAATCTCGCGAGATGGGATCATATCATGACTAACTTATTGAATAACAGAAACTGATGTATGATGTAGATTGGTTAAAAAAAGTCAAGATTTTCATCCAAATGGTTCTCACAGTTTGTCTCATAACGTCAGTTCGTTAACCATTTAATGAGTTTATATATAAATATTATAAAAACTATGACTAATCAAATCCACTTGCATCGTTAACTCGAAACTTCCCTTTGATGTTTAGGAACGCAATTGATCAGTCTCAAATAAACAATACAAGTAAATTTAAACTTCATCCCATTGCACAAGCAAGTGGCTATCATGACTCAGCAGCTATGTGGGTAGCTAAGTACTGGTTTCGAGTCCCACACTGAACATCAACTCTGAGATGCAGGTACACCCAGCTGAAAAGTCTCAAATAGGAAGAAACGCGCGTCCTAGATTCCACTGTTAGCCACTATCCATCTTTGCCTATGAGTAATCATTTCACAATTGTATACAACTCGTTAAATAGCTCAAACATTTAATGGTCATTAGAATGAACACTTTTCTTTGCAACGAAAATAGCCTACTCTTAAATAGAAAACACCTATTGTGAATTTTAATAAAGCTCTCTAGTCAAGTAAATCCCTCACAAATATTACAGTCTATTGATTCAACAATAGATTCTTGATTCTGATTTTCTACTGATTAGTGAATAAATACGACAAAACATCTAAGGTCATTCTTAGCCTCCCTCTCTCTTTCTATTTCTACAGTGTAGCATAGTTTTATCCTAATCATAAGAATGTTAATCGTTCCGTGAAAAATTACTTTTCTTAACTTACTCATATATTATCTTTAAATTTCAAAGCTAATCACAATACTGGGAAAGATATTTATATTCTTCTGAAACCAGATATATACTACTTCCCAAGTACCGATTTATCGGCCCGTTTACATGTTAAATTTCTAACTGCATTCTACTAATTAAAAGTCAAGTAGTTTAACCGTTAGTTCTTCACTTCCTTTTACTATAGCCAATGATTTAAATGGATAACGAACTAAATTTAATTATAATTCCATAGGCTTTACTCATTAAAGATACAAAAATTTATCAAGAATAATCAGTTTGTTAGTATTTTTTTCCATACAAACTTAAGTAAAAAACAATACCGAATGAAGGTATTCTTGTCTTGATAAAAAGCAGTTCACCTGTCTTCCTACTATCAACTTGTACTTTTACCTATTGTGTGTAGAGACTTATTCTATTTCATTGTGATTATTGACTCATATTGCCTTGATTGGTTTGACATTTTCGTATAAATATTCATGTATATTAGAGTAAAGCCTGATGACAATCTAATTGAAAACAATTGTTCGCTTATATGTGTTGTTCCAAATAAATAATGAACAAATAATAATCAACATTAAATGCAATTCCTTCAAGTTTATACTTCAATTTACCTCTGTGAATATAGTTGTTTTGCTTAAATCTGTTTTCCGTCCGCTTACATCTCTTCTTAAATCACCATATCGTGAAACTGATGAAAAATTATTCTTGTTTCGACAAGTATCCATACCATCCTCTTTACAACCAGAGTTATTATTGTTATTATTATTACTATTATTACTATTATTTGCTATGGTATATCGTGAAGTAGACGGTGATTCAATTGTTAGCATACAAGGTGATATCAAAGATGTTTGAGAATGTGCTGGTGTCAATAAATCAACTGCCGCTTCATGTGCTTTATTCAATTGGGACCAGACAATCGCTTGTTGATTAGACATTTCTGCATGAGATAGACGCATATTAGATTCTGCTAATTTACTCATTAATTCCATTTCTTTAATTCGTTGGCCAACTTTAAACTCTCGATGCTGTTTATTAGTTTGAGAGAAAAGTAATAATAATAGTAAAACAGTAAAAAAACTTAAATAAATAACAGAATATTATCGACACATTTCAATGAAATAAATTCATTACAACCAACATATAATTACGTAATATAAACTGATGACTAAATTTCAAGGTTTTTGGTTGAGATCATGAACCGATTGATGTCAGACCACCGTTGGAAACCTAGTAGCGCTGGATGGCTGTTTCGTCCTATTGCGGGACTCCTCAGCATTGCGCATCCACGATCCCGCTCGCGGGATTCGAACCCAGGGTCTTCGGTTTTGCGCGCGAACGCTTAAGCTACTGGACCACTGAGCCGGCATCCAACGATGATAGTGTCTAACATCAACCAATCCACGAAATTGCGCAACCATCTTCCATTGTACTGAGGTAGATACCTGTCTCTACCCGACAAGGATTAGCTCCACTGGTCACGGCTTCTCACTAGAACTCCGAGAATTGCCTCACGAAGCTAGTCACTAGTGAGCACATGTTAATTACTAGTATAGGGGTTGTGGAGATTATTAAGTTTTTGATTGAGATCATGAACCGACTGATGTTAGACCACCTTTGGAAACCTGGAAGCACTGAATCATTCAGTAAATTAGCAGTATAGTTACTAAGTATCAAATGTAACTGAGTTGTTATGCGGATCAAACACTACTTTCTATTTAGGTGACGGGAAAGATTATTCAAAGGCGTACCGACTAGTCAAATAGTCTAGGGTTTTTAGATTGATCTATTTAGCTAATCAAAAAGAATGTAACTTATTGTAATTAGGCGTCAGAAAGCCCTGGACTCCAGTTTCATGATAACTAGCACTTGTCAGCAAAGCGTTTATGGAGTCTTAATATAACTACATCCCCCATTGTCACATCATAGACATTATTACTGGAAACTATAATGTAAACTGTTAGTTTCAGCAAATCGCTCATTAGTTCATCTAGATTTATGCATTATCTTGTCAATTAATGATTTACTGCCTCAAAGATTTCAGCTTTTTCAATTACTTCATTTTATTGCTCCTCTCTTTCTCATAAAAACAGTACGTTTAGTCCAACTATTCATTTGCTGAAAGTGGAATTCTATTAAAATGAAATTCCTCTAGTGTATATATACGACAGAATAAATCACTGGACTAAAAAATTCAATGAAAAAGGTTGAAAATAAAAAAAAGATTTATGATGTATACCTCAGCTTCTATTTGAAAGATTCGAGTTTGTAAATTTCTAATCTCTTGACGAAGTTCACGATCATTAGCTACAGCATCTTCAAGTTCAGACATACGAAATGAATTGATAGCTTCCAGACGATCAATATGACGTTGTAATGTTTGACATCTGGATTGTACTCTCAGAACCTGAGGAAATAGACAAATAACACTTTAGTTTCACTTATCAGGGACTGACATTTACATATTTTATAGTGCACATAGGTACAAGTATACAATTTAAGCTCTAGAATAGTGTTAAGCAGTTATTAATTATAATCCATCAACTTCTCCAGTAATATTTTACTTTAAAAGATTACCACTATGACCCAGTTAGACCTTCAAGTTGCTTAACTACCAATCACAAAATTGTACCTGTTTATAAGTATGACTAATTTTTGATTGATTCGTTGTGTTGCAACCGTTAATACTGATTGATATGCACTTTTTATGACTCCTTTTCTCTGACAGTTATTTCTTGGTTTTGTACTAGTTGTATTAATTTATATTTTAGAAATAAAAAAAGTTTTTGACCTTTCTGTACATGGCTTCTTTAAGACTCCATGTTCGACAGTTGAGGGACTTGTTTAGAAAATCAGCCTACATGTAAAATTAGATCCTAATATAGTCAAATGATCACTAATGATATCAAATTATACAACACAACTACTTAAATGATCAACGCAATAATATTTCATACTAACTAGTTGTCGCAAAGTACTTCTGTGAAAAAGGGTGTAATTTGTTTTCCAGAAATCTCAGTGGGGACTCATATGACTATGAATGTTCAGGATTAAGAATAATAAGAGAATGAATAATCATAGATATTCAATACGCCTCATTCAAACCATTAGCGTCTATGATTAATATAATTTAATAAATGGCTTAAATGACTATTCGACATAAATGGCTTATTTGAAAATAAAGCGATTTGTTAACTAATTAAATTGTTATCAGTTTTAAAACAGCTACTAACTGCCGTTACAGTAAAGGCTTGATAATTATGATAATGATGTTCTGGTCAATGGAGTAATAAATGGAGGATTCAGATTCATTTAGGAATACAAATTTACAGTTATGTATTAGATCCAAAAGAAGATCAAATACTGAGACTAGTTTTTAATGTCAATCACTAAAAATGATGTCAAATAGAGTATATATTAAATTGAATACTAGAGTAAGATAAAACTTACATCCATTCTGGTCTCTCTGAGTTTTAGCAAAGCTCTAGCTTCACCTTGCCTAGCTGCAAAGGCTTCCATTCGAAAATCTGGTTTTGATGAAGGCCATCCAAATGACTGCCTAAGAGAAGCTCTCAATCGACTTAAACGATCACCTGGTTTTCTCTCATTCCCACATATTTCATATTGTTCTGATCCCGAAGCACCTGATTCTGTCGGTGTTGGAGTATCTATTGATGCTCGATTATGATTAATTGTGTCATTAGAACAAGGAGAGTTAAGTTCACTTCGAAATCCATTCATCATAACATGATCAGCAGCACTACTACGACTTCTACGTAATAATGAAACAAATCCTTTTGGACGATTATTTTTTGACTCTGTGTCAAAATCTTCATCTTCATCACCACCATGACTTCTGTCTCGACAAGAAGGAGACATTGTTCGATTGTTTGCTTCAATTTGAAAGTTATAATGAGGTTGAGTTAATCGTCGAACATTTATACGATTATTAGAATTATCATAATTCTCTGCACCAACTGTTACTCGACCAAACGCATTCGTTACTTCTTTTCCATCTTTACCATCAGATGTTGTATGACTAGCCAGGCTACAACCACTATCACTTTGAGGTGAATCCAACCCAGATTGTTGAATACCTCGAGGAAATTCACCATCAATATCATTGTTAAAATTATTATTGTATTGCTCATTTTGAAGACGAGAATAAATTCGACTAGTGTAACTATTATTATTATTACTGTTAGATACACGACTATACAAAGACCTATTGATTGATGGTGAAGCTAACTTTTGAGAATTGTTTTCTTCAGTTGAATATGGGGATGAACGAATTTCGTGTACTATTCGTTGATCTTCCATATCAGATAAATTGTGTTGTGTCGATTGATAATTGGCATATTTTGCAGGTGAACTGTTCTGACTTGAATTAGGTATCTGAGATTGTTTTTTCATAGATAAACTTGTTGGCGATATGGTAACAGCATTAAAAAAGTTCTCCATTTCCGGATCCTTCAGGTTATCAGCAATAAAGGAGGTGGGCCGAAAATTATGTAAAAAGTATATTAGCTTTATTTCAAACAGTATTACATTTAAATATGTACAACTTTTAAAGAGAGTGTGACTTAATGTATTAGCTGATCTAAGATAAGTTATTTGTTCTGAACTGAAATCTTAGTATACGTCAGAAAGTCCAGTGATATATGTTTATGGTTAAAGCAATAGAATAAAAAGGTTGTCTACCCTTATGAAAACATCGATGCTTCCTAAGTAGGTTCAGATACACTATGCTGATTAGCGCTAGTGAGTACAAGACCTCGATTCACAATATCTTTAACATTACCTCCAACTGTCTGATTATAGTTTATTTCACCAGGTGGAATCCACTAATCGTAACTGATTGATTTCAGCTGAAAAACAAAGTATAAAGCAAAGGACAATAGTTAGCTGTAGCTCTAAGATATTAAATTTGGTAAGATGGTGACTGGAGGTAGTCAACAGGAAATCCTGGACCTAGGTTTCATGCTACTTGGCACTCGTCAGCAAGATGTTCCTTAATCTTGAGGGAACTGGTGCCTACTGACGGGTTGGATCCCGTGTCACCCAGCTTCACAGTCAGAGACGTTACTACTGAGCTATCCAGGCCACGACTGACCTCCTGTAGGACTGGGATGTATTTACAACTGATTGATCACTGGGTGGTGATCAATGTCATGTATATCAGGGTTTTTTTAGTGCAGATCGAATTCTATCGACCAAGCTGCAGCGTGGCCACTAGTCTAGGTGACTCGATGAGGTTCAATCTGCACTAAGAAGGACTTGACATACATGACATTGATCACCACCCAGTGATCAATCAATTGTAAAGATTTTATATTTGCCTAGATCCGCATGGTTTTGATCTCGTATATGGTAGCTGGTTGCATAAAGCTGATAAGTGTTAAACTGTCCTGTTTCTCAACTGATTACTAACTGGTATCAGATCATTTTTTCAAAATAACATTTTCAAATATACATTACTCTATAATAAACGTAAGTTGTTCATATCATACTGGATAAATCAACGAATAATAACTACAACAAAACATAACAAGACCAAACGTCCTCCGTTTGAGTCCCACATGCGGGATCACAGATGCGCGCTAATGAAGAGTTCCACAGTAGAACGAAACAGCCGTCCAGTGCTTCCAGGTTTTCCATGATGGTCTAGCTTTAATTGACTCATAATCTTGACTATTAAAATTACTGAAATATCCACAAAACCCCTTCTGATATTAATTGTTATTTGTAAAATTGCGAAAACAAACAAGCTTAAACATTTCATTGTAATCAAGCTATGAACAATGTGTTCATATTCTTATTATCCACAAAACAACTCTATTCAAATGTATTTGAAATGTGACACTATTGCTTTTGTGTATGTGTATGTATTTCTCCATGTACTTTGTAAAAATACAAATGCATAGAGAAAGTCTATATGTTTAATAATTGTTTTTCATTTAAAATAATCTTTTTATGTTCTCTGGATTCAGTTAGAAATACTAACGAAACGAAATAATCAATGCGCATTTTAGTTGTGAAAAAGGAATAAACAATAAGGTATAATTAGTAAATTTACTATTTCACAGGTTGAAATCATGAGTCAGTTGAAGCTAGACCACCATTGAAAACCTGGAAGCACTGGACGGCCGTTTCGTCCTATTGTGGGACTCCTCAGCAGTGCGCGTCCACGACCCCGCAATCAATTTGTTGAATAGTTTCTAGAGTTTCTGTGAGGAGTCAGGGCTGATGGAGTTCAGCCATGTCGAATGTGAGACAATAATCTCCAGTACCAATCAATGGTGATTGCACAGTATTGCATAATCTTACACAGTTGATTAAAACCATTGAACGGTTGTTTCATCCTTGTTTGAAAATCTATAGAACTGTGTTATAACTATCATGTATGAGATAAACCTGTACTATTTAGTGGTTTCTCAAAGTACATTTAAATAACTTAGTAGAACTCCGTACCCTTATGATAAGGTTTTTCCAGTACAATTACTGTGAATATATTTTTTCTAATTCAGATTTCTGCACCGATCCTTGCTTGTATCTGATTAGATATGTTCATGTTTAACTCCGTAATTTTACTACAACCGAAGGATTTTTTTATTACCATATGTATAAAGTTGTTCTATCTCAAATTTATCTTCTTGAATATTAATTTTTCCTGATTGTCTGACTTCTTCCCGTCTTCTATAGTGTTAGGGATTACTGTCAAAATGTTGTGTCATTCATCCGGTTTATATAATTCACATTAGATACCAATTACATGATAGTAATCTTAATCATTCAAAATTTGAAATTACCGTTAGGTTATTCAGTCTTTAAAGTAACAGTAGTATAACGTGAAATGGATGAATGAAATCAAAGAAGATGAAGTTAAGAAGGATCACTTTATTATTTTAGGAGACATGGATTGTGATCACACCACGTTGATCAAGTATCTAATGCCCCCAACGTTAAATTAGGCCTGTTGCGCTAGATCATCCAGGAGGTCTACGTCCACTGATGTGGGTTAGTATTAATTTTTGCTACCGACGTACAATAATTCCTAGTTCCAAATAATTGGGATTCTTCTCAAATGAATTGGATCTAATGCAAAATCCATAGACTGGATGACCGACACCTACAACATTTCAACAATTATCCCAATTGCGATGGAACAGATGATAAATATGCATTCAGGAGAATCTTAATATTCGAAAATTCGAAGTTAATACAGAACAACTCTATCTATGTAGCAACTAAAATTGGGACACAATAAAATTAGTTAGCCAAAGGCTATTGTGATTGTCCTCTCACGAATGAACTAAGTTTTGTTAACAGAAAATTAATTAACCTGAAGTCCCCTTAAAAACAGACAGTTATTAACTATATTCACTAATGTTATTTTTTGCTTAGCCTTCTCTAGTTGTTTTCCGATTTGCTTCCATGTCAGCCAGCATTGTATGTTAGAGGAAGGGTTGTCAAACACATGTACAATATGGTGCAACCACGTGAAGCAATAAATGTTTATAACCTCATAAATCACCTGAACCGTCTAATTTTAGAAATGATTTGAAGATATGTATGATTAAATGTTAATAGCCCATTCATATCTCCTACTTTCATAAGTAAGGTTTTGCAGAAGTAGAAGAATACACAGCATGGTATTTCCATGTATATATGCCCCTCATAAAAACTAAGTCAAATTTGGGCTAATAACGTGCACCTGTTAACATCTCCCACTTATCCTTTGACTTTGAACTGATGTGTTATTGACCAAGCCAAAAATAAATCCGACCTTTTGGAAGTCAGCTGCAGAAACTGGACGTGAACCTATATCAGAAGTAACTATTATAATTCAATATGGAAGTTAAAATACTCGGTACTAATTTATAGTTTTAATAAGAACTAAACAATCAACTTCCATAATAAAGAAAACGGACAGTGTGAAATTAATTGAAAATTGACAATGAATCAAAACATCATACTTTACTATCCTTTTTTTATTTCTCTTTTTATATTCAGTAGGAGTGTAGCTACTGAAAAATCTGACTGATGGAATTTTTTTAATAAAAAAAATAAAAGTAAAACAACCAGTTTTCGCCTCAGTTTTACTTCAATAAAATGGATTAAGAGTAGAGTATTCAACTGAAACCTCGTCATTCATTCATTCATTTATACAATTGAATGGAATTAAAGTTATTAAGGGCTTGAAATTTTCAAGTGTTCATTGCCTAGTAATAACTAATTTCAGCATTGCCATGACAATAATTTTTAAATACTGAAAACTGTTTTTTTTTTGCTTTTTTTGACATACTAAAAAAACGTTTTTTGTTTTGTTTTTTCAATGTTTCAATGTAACAGAAACATTATTTATTCATAATAATTAGTGCATTACAAAGTTTAATATGAAATATGTGTGTAAAAGCGAAATAATTCACATTGTGACCACCATCACACACAGCTTTAACAATGATAATGATAATAATAATATTAATAAGCGTGAACTAACTAATGAATGTGTTAGAAAATAATTCTGAATAGAACCCGTAAATTGTTTGGATAAACTGTTCAACTACATAAATATAACTAACTGATTAGACTGTTTTTTTAACTAATTAGAATGAATGAACAAGCCTAGTGATTTGACTATGACTCTTTCTTAACTATAAGTGTTAATCAATGAGCCTGGAATAATCTCAAGCATTTAGTATGATGATGAATACAATAGTTTATATCATTGATTGAATTGATCAAGACGGTCAACCATTAGAAATCATAGGATTGTGGAGATTGTTGAGTTTAGATTGATATCACGAATGGATCAATGTTTGACTACCATTGAAAACCTTGAAGCATAGGACGACCATTTCGTCCTAGTATAGGACTCGTCAGAATTGTGCAGCAACGATCCCACCCTAAGGACTTGAACCCGGTACCTATGTCTTGCGCGTGAACGCTTAAACTCTAGACCACTGAGTGGGAAACCAACGGTGTTAATGTCTAACTTCAACCAATCCAAGATATTGAGCGACAGTTCGCCATTGTCTTCAGTGAGTAACTACCTTACAACAGAAACGGTTGAACTCCACTGGTTGAAGTTAGACATGAACACCGTTGGATGCCCACTCAGTGGTCTAGAAATTAAGCGTTCGCGCTTGAGATCAAAAGTCCTAGATTTGAGCCCTGCTTGCGGAGTCCCGGTTGAACACTTCAGAGGAATCCCATAGTAGGACGAAACAGCCGTCCAATGCTTCCAGGTTTTTAATTGTGCTTATCCATGCATGTACAACTGTTTCCCGGAACCTTTAGGCTTTATTCAGAATATATTATTATTAGACTTCTGTAACATTCAACGAACTATGGTTTTCAATGTTAATTAATAAAACTTATAGGTGTATGACTTTTTAAGATGACTATACCAGTATGAAAATACTGACTACGGCTATCTAATTTTTGCATAGTTATTTAGTTAAAGTTTT